TATGTAGTTTAGCAGTGAGGTATCGTGTGGGTAACTTCTCAGTGTTTTCATACTGAGTGTCACCATCCTCGTCTTTGTACTGCTGCTGTGGGATGAGCAACTTTTCATCTAGCGAAAACTTGTGTTGTANCCGTGTACTGTCCTATACCACGGTCCTTCAAGTTCTGCTTTGGCTAGCCTAATATAGCACGCCTTGCAAGTGATACAGATGCAGTTGGCCGCTTTGTCGACTCTCGTAAACACCACCTTCTTGTGCAATTGTTGAAAAGATGTCCTAGCTGCAGCAAAATCTATGTGGCCCGTAAGAGGCTTAGCAACCTCCCTCTTGTCCGCGTCAGTCACTTTTTGTTCTATCGCGTCGTACAAATATCCTCCCATTCATTCTTCAATGTCATCGCGTGGCACTTTGAGTTCATGACATAAATCGCCAATGCACGATTCTATGGCGTCTATGAGCGATTCAAAGAAAGAGAGGTCATTCAAGGCTTCAGCATATTCTGCTCTAAAACCAGCTTGTAGGTTTAGCACAGCTGCAGCATTGTCATCCTGAAGACATGCGGCATCTGTGGTAATCAAACATTTGGAACCATCCTTGGCAACAACCGTGTACTGACTCCATTGGTGNTATCCTCCCATTCCTCAATGTCATCGCGTGGCACTTTGAGTTCATGACATAAATCGCCAATGTAAGATTCTATGGCGTCTATGAGCGATTCAAAGAAAGAGAGGTCATTCAAGGCTTCAGCATATTCTGCTCTAAAACCAGCTTGTAGGTTTAGCACAGGGAGCTGCAGCATTGTCATCCTGAAGACATCCGGCATACTTGTGGTAATCAAACATTTGGAACCATCCTTGGCAACAACCGTGTACTGACTCCATTGGTGGTCTTTGCAAATGCATCTATATTTACCATGATTTACATCTCTCGCTACGTTGGTGGTATTGAACATGATACTATCTAGGGTAGCACCATACCTAAAACAAGGGATAATACGTTGTACAGCGTCACGGAATGCACGGTGTTGGGGGGGAATGTACGCTAGAATATTTGCCCGCATGAACATCCCACGGAGCCCCAAGGAGTCCGCAACAGAACTAGTCAAACCAATCACTACCAGTTGAGGCACCTTGCGTTGCTTAACCAGCGGAGGGGGGAAAGTCGCGAGGTATGCTTTGCGTAGTGCCTGGAACGCTAAATGCACATCCTCTGTGATACCCACCTGCCCTACATACCTAATCATGCGCAGCATGTTTTTTGGTGCTAGCGCTTTGATGTAGGCATCGACTTTATAAGGCTTGTACTGAATTAGCTTGGCAAGGTACTGTATTCGTCGTTTCCAGTCACGGGACCGGAACCTCCTCTTCTGGCAACCCCCATTTTTCGTAGTCTTGCGTGCTTCGTGTCTAGACCGTTTGATCGGTCGCGTACCAAAACCATGCGAAGGCAAACCCGGGCTAGGGGGGCATGCAATCTCTCTCTTGGTATTGTAACCATTTCTGACAGTGTCCATGCATGCAATCCAAGAATTCTCCCTCTGCCGCCAGTGTAATAGTGTGCCAGACCTATGGCCTTCCGGCAAGTAACGGGGGAGTGTCTCGAGCTCGAAAACCGCAAACTTAGTCCAATCGAGGTCTAGTGTCCTGCCCAACCGATCTCCGGTACCTAAATGCCCCGCAAATCTTGCATACGGATTATCTACCGTGCGTCCCACATATTTCAGACCATTTGACAAGTTCACAATAGCGTATATGGTGACTGTATTCTTGCGGGGGAGTGGTCTCCCACTATTGCTATCTTGCCCGGATGAGGTCCATATGGGGTATGGCCTACCACACCGTTGGGGTTCGTATGCACCAACAGGGATATTCCCTTTGTCTGTTGCAGTGGCTAGCCAGGTGTCTCG